GAGCAGACCTTTCTATCCATCCATCCGCCTCACACTGATGGCAAAGAACCCCCTTTTCGCATATACCTCTCCTTTTCCTCTCCAACCCGTCGGCTTTCCCCAGTCCCACCTTCGTCCAAGAGGCATTAGGAATGGCGAACACGCCGCCGTGCAGAGGCTACGTGAGCGGCATTTCTACCCACCCCCGCCTCTCATTCTCTTCCTCCTCACCTCACCTCACTCTCCAACCGCCCCCAGCCCCCGTTGGGTACATTCGTGCCTGGTGCCAGCCAGTATGGCCGCCAACCTTCCCACCTAAACTCCCTCTCAGTACAACTCCCTTGACCTCGCCTGTATGAAGCTTCCTCATGTCTTCGTGTCAAAAATGAAAAATATGAAATACTAACCATTGGTGTCCTCTAGCACTTTTATCACAATTTTAAATTACAGTCTGAGTTCAGTCCGTCATTTTTTGGTTATTATAACGGAAGGGTTTTTATCATTAAGTAGAAATAGTAACTCACCTGGGACAGACCAAGGTAAATGGAGACCGTTTCAGAAATGTACAGGAATCGTCCATCAGCAGCTACTGCCATTGCGAAACCATCCAACGACTGTAACAGAAAACCGGAGGGTAAGGGTGAGGTCTCCAGACTTGCTTTTACTGGTGTTACGAAAATGGTCTCGAGTTTTACGAGCTGGCAGAGTCCAAGGAGTTTACGGTATATAGGGTCTTTTTTCTTTTTCATTTCAGTGAGCAGCACATATGAAGCATTAATAGGGCAGTTTGAAATTTTAGAATCATCATTTTCATTTTCAGTTTTTTTTTCCTTTTTATGGGATACTTTACCTGAAGAATGTGAGTCCCCTGATGCTGTTCGAACATGTCTTCTGCAAATGGCGTTGATGACAGTCTAGTTCTTTTAGTTCCTGAAAACAAAAAATAAATAAAATAGGAAGGATCATTTCAAAAGTTAGTCTTGATGAAGTTGTTGAAGAAACGGATATTTTTATTTCCCCTCAATCAGAAGCTCCTCGATCGCATCCCGATTGGCACAACCCTCTGAATAATGAATTCCTTCCCCTGGTGGATATGAATCACAATCCAACCCTTTCAGTTGAAGACCCCCCGTGGGCTAAATGCCCTCTCGTCTTGACAAACAAGAAGGTCCTTACTTCTTACCACTGTAATAATATAATACTCGCCCCCATTCCCTTTTTCCATCTGGTTTTACCCCCTTAATGAGAGACTCGGGGAGACTCGATAAAACTCACACAAATATCAGAAGGGAATGAGGTTCCTTCGTTGACCGCTTAATCTGGTAAAATCCACGCGGTAAGGCAAGAAACTCATCACCCAATCCCGCAGACTGACCCTTCTCGGTCAACAAGTTTATTCCAATATTTTTGCAGTCTATCCCTGATATAATCCCTGAATTACGCGTGAGCTGGCTTGACGAACCTTTTGTGATACCTTATCCCATTTTCATCACCCAAATGTTCAATCTTGGTCAAGCTGAACAATGGAATCATTATATCAGTTGTTCTGTGCGCATTATTATTTCTTATACAAATTCCATGTTTTGGATTCAATGTAAGAAATTGCTTATATTATTCATGTGATAGTTTACCTTACATTATTTTTAACTTGCCAGATGATGGAATTTCAAGTGTTGGAAAATACTTAAAATAAATTAAAAATATTTAGGACGACGAAATTGTTATACCTAGATTTGGTCAATTGCGTTATTGTTGAATATATGGGCATACAGCATTGTTAGGGTGGCACTTGCCACACTGATAGACTGATTCATTTATTCCAAACGAGATTAGTTAACTATTAATGAATGGTTCACTTGAAAAGTGAAAATCGAGTCGAACAAGGCTTCTCCAATGTGCATTTGTTAACTATTAACGAATGAACATTTGGTGAGACCGAATAAACCGTCGTCTCCAACCAAATCCATTCCTTAACGACACCTAATCCTTTCTGTCAGTGCAGCGTAACTGGATTATACCGACCAAGTGATGAAATATAAACAATCAATCTATTATTTAAGAGACGGTTGAGCCTGCACAGATCAGACCTGAATTGCACTCCGACGCGAATGTACGAAAAAATAGCCGAAGGAAAAAATAGCCGATAGGTAGTAACACGCGTTGGGTGTGGGAATCGACAAAATGACCGGTCATTTTCGGTCATTTTTTCCGCCTACCTCCGACGCGTACAAAAGTCGTCAACTCTTGGTAATCAGTTAGATGACACACTGAGAGAAAAATCTGAAGTTCGATTTACAATAAGAAAATAGTTGAGGCAGTTTGGGGAACGATACGATTTTTTTTTGTATGCGGCACATAACATTATAGTAACTTCACAAGCGTAATTTTTGCAAATCAAAATGCAGTTTAACTAACCAAAGTTCAAAAGTAACCACGACAAATCTATCGTGAGTAGAACTATAAAATAGTTGCAATGACTACATTCCATTGTAGTAATTACTCCTCCGGCCATAGTTACCGTAAGCCATGAAAAATTATTGAGGACTTTTTGACTATAATTCGATGGTCATGGAATATAGTCAGAAGAATCATATTTTTCTCTCAGTGCACAATAATTATAATCAAGTAATAAATTCTCATGTTCAAATGCCGATAAACCATTGGTGAGATTCATCCCTTCAAGCCTAGAACCTACTATAATTATAAGTACACGGAGAGAATTTTTTTAGAAAACTTCTAGTGCTAGCACAGGAAAAGAGGAGCAAAGTGACGGCCAGGAAAAAATTCCAGTGCCAGCACTAGAAATTTTATCGGGGAAAATGTGAATTTTTCCCCGTATTTCTCTGAAAATTTCACAAAAATCCCCAGAAATTTTAGCAGAAGTATCCAGAAATTTTACCTTAACAGCACTAGAATTTTTCAGAGCCGGTGGATTGTAATTTTTTCCAGTACTCATACTAGAATTTTTCTAGAAAAATTTCTCTCCGTGTACCCCCGCTGGGTACAACAAGGTTGTATTCAATACAAGCTAATGAGAAGCCCTCTGTAGGGCTTCCCTATATAAATTTTTTTAAACTATCTCCAAAAGCAATGCTCAATATCTCTATCCATTACCAAAACATTTTTTTGCAACGCAAGATTGGAGACGTTTCTCGCAATCTTTCTTCACATAAATACTCAAAATAAATAAAGCAGACTCGGTGCTGTACGTGCCTCGCATAACGCTAGTTATGATCCAGGACGATTAATCTTCGTACTAAGAAAAATAGAACGAAAAAAAAAGAGAAAAGGGAAATAAAAGGAAGAAAAGAGGAGTATTGGATCCGTGGAGTTGTGAGAAAGGTGTCCCAGTGGGACAGGGACCGATATAACGTTTCACTCTGGCCTAAACGTAGATACGTATAAGCGACGGAAATATTGCTGCTTTGGTGCCGAGTATTATTTTTCCACAGGGCGTATATAAGTCTGCACCCCCTTCCATTCCGTACAGATATTATTAGTAGTTGGATCATTTTACGCCCGGAAAAAGCCCCGTGGGGCACTAGGGCTTTCTCTTCCGCACCCCTAATGCCCAGTACCACCTTCCTACGTTCTATAAATGCAGCGGGTCATGTGTCTCCTGGTATCTTAGAGATATTATATAGCTAAATGCCTTGCGCGATTATCGTTGGGGATTAATGATTATTCATCATTGGGGGTCCGTTCAATATGCATGGTAATGGATACAAATGACGGAGGGGTAAATGGGGCGACGACACTGACCGTGTGTCGATTGTCCTTCGTATACGGGTGCTACAATTTTATCGTCATTCATAATTCATCGATGTCGAGTTTTTCACATTCTTGAATTAATCAGCAGGGGCTGAATAGCTTTCATTGAGATATTTCGTGAGCTATTTATCGCCTTGTCGCACGAGCATTAGCTAGACGGAGAGAATTAAATAGTAAATATTACCATAGCCGTATAGGAGAGATTACTATGGTAACATAGTAAAAAGGTTTTCAACTGTCCCTATATAGTAATCCTTACTATGCCACATGGTACTGCTTACTATGTTCCACGGTAACGGTTACTATGTTGCATAGGAATGGCTACCATGGCCATAGAAATGGTTGCCACCTGAATGGAAAATGGCCCTATGAACATAGAAAGTATCTGTAAAATAACCGGTTGAAATTGGCCATTGTCTCTTGATGCGTTCATCAACTCAAAACGTTTAAGGCTTAAACTCTTTAAAAAAATTCAACAAATTAAACTCTTTATTTTAAATTTTTCCTATTAAATTCGACAACATTTTTGTTTGAAATTTATATATTTATTTAAATAAAAAAGCTTCAATTATATGGAATCCATAGTGCATTCATTAGAGGTAGATAATCAATTAGAAATGAATAAACAATTTATTTGATTCAAACAGAGAATTATCACACATCAATAAATTCTTTTCCTTCGCCATCTAAACAATGATTCCACATTTCTAACTAATAAAGTCTTTACTTATATGAGGAAAGTATTTTTTTACATTTATAAAACTATTCATTTTATATGGATAAAAATGCAACTGCAATTTTAATTTAGGTTTTAATGGACTTTATTATGAGCTCTCTGAATAAATCCATTATTTTATTTAAAAACATAATTTCTCTTTCCGATGGTTCTTACAACAAATAAATTCTCGTTCCTGAATTAATAACATTTCTGTGTTTAACATTGATCTACTCCTGTTTTATTGCTGGATGGTATTTAATTATTTAGAATAATTTCATTATGTGTTATAGGACAACTTACGGAACATAGGAAGCTCTACTGTGTAACATAGTAACGCTTACTATGGCCATAGTAATACTTACAAAACTATGGTAGCGTTTACTAAGTGCGGATTCCGACATGGTAATCTTTACTATTTTTCTGTACTGCGTCCCACGATTTCTCGTCTGGAAATTGGTATTGCATACTTCCCAAACTCGAGAACTTGAAAATCACTACAAAACAGTCTTGGCCCGGGCTGTTGCGATGGGGTTTTTTTACTCGTGTAGTTGGCCAGTCCTCGCCTTCGGCTTGGACGCCAACGCCACACGAGTAAAAAACCCCATCGCAGCAGCCCGGAAAAATACTATTATTTTCTCTCTGCATAATAGAAATTTGACATTCTAAAGTAAAAATGAAAAAAGTACTGTTGTATTAATTAGAAAAGCTGAATTGTTCCGATTCTTCCTCAACATATTTTTCCAATCGTTTATATATAATATATAATATATATTAATCGAAAAATTTAGTTTTCCGTTTCCGTAAAAGTAATAAATCCTGCACCTCGCACCGGCTGCGTGACGTCACGATGTCGCAGGACCCCCTATTGCTCCATCTGCACCGAGTTTCCCCGACAATACAAGTAGTAAGGGAGGGTGTGAGGGAGAGAGTGAGAATTGACGAGGGGGCTTTGGTGCGAGAAAATGCAACATATGAGAGGAATACGGGACGATATCACTTCGCAGGAGGCCAGGACTGATTTTAGTACTCTCGGGACTGGAATTTAATGAAAAATAGCTGAATTTGTTGTGTCTTTCCAACTGGTTTTGGTGAAGGTGTTGGGGCGGAATTTCAGTTTACGAGATGATTCTTCAGGATTGCTATAGAACAAATTCTCTTGGACCGTTATATTTCATTACCGTTTTACTTCTCGCCCTTTTATTTTCATGTACGAATATCAACTCTGAAATCTTCAGAGTTGTGAATAATTGTCAATAACTGGAGATAATTGATGATGGTTCTTTTGTAAACGTCAAGGGATCAACACTTGTATTTTTCCATTTTCTAGAAAGAGAGAACAAAATAAATAACTCGTGAGTTATGGCCTTGAGGAGGGCACATAGAACACCACCTTCATGTATTTATCAAAATATTGTGATAACCCCAGTGGGAGGGGTCGGGA